TATCACTGCGCCCTGCAGAGGCACAGCGAGACACTCACGCTGGAGAGCGGTGCAGAAACCCTCCCTGCCAGCGCACGCAGGAAGGATCACGACACATTCTTGTGATCCATTCTCTTCAGACCCATGCCGAAGGGAGGCAGCTTTGTTTAGAGGGACAGGCTCTGTGACAGATGTACTCTTGATATAGAATATTATCCTTTCAACATGAGCCATTTCAGGAACAAGTCTGTTTTTACAAAGTGTATTCTTCCCCAGTGGCATTATCTGCAGCCCAGAGCGAGTCACCCGTGGACAAAGAGCTGAAGGCATCTAAGGATGAATAAAGTCATCCTTTGAGACTTGTAAAATTCTCTGTTTTAACATCTCATGGATTTCAAAAGGAATTTTGTGCCCATGCGCCAAATAAAAATTGCTGAGTGTTTAGGTGCCTACATGCCTTTAAATTCTGCCCCTAAATGAATTAGGTGGCTACAGGCTGATTTTGGTCAGAGGTTTCAGAAAAAGCCAATGTAATCTGCAAAAACACAGAACCTGGCTATGTGACTGGCCAGCTGAGGATGAGACTTCTCCTCTCTCCTTTCTTTGCATTACACTCCAGCCTGGAAGACAGAGTGACTCAGGCAGGCAGGGGCACCTGGAGTAGGGCATGGCTCTATAACTTTGGACTGCATCAAGGAAACTGTTCCTGGTGGTCAAGGATTGTGCTCATACAAGCAGTGACCTGGGGCATTCTGGTTCTCCTTTGGCAATATTCTCGAGGCTGAAAGAGGAATGAGGCAGGACCAAGGTTTTCTGTTGATATTCAGAATTCCCAAATTTTCATCCATCTGGGGATCTGAGGACTGGAGCTGCGGGACTTAACCACATACTTCTCCACTTTCACCAGATAGACAGTAATGACATTTGTGTGGAGTCCTGTACAAAAATTGTAGGTCCAGGATGGGACCCCCCCCCCGCCGCCCCTTCACCAGGGATAATGATAATAATAATCAGTCAATGGGGGAAATTACCATTTTTGGGCCACCTTTGTCTGGGCCCTGGGTGGCTGACCAGTTCATCCATACCTGTGTCCAGCCCTGGTGACTAGAATTCTTCACACCAGTCTTCCTGGAATGGGAAACCTCTAACTCATTAGTGGGAAGAGCTGAAAGCAGGATTGTTCTCAGAAATTCACTAGGAGTAGGGCAGGAAAGAGGCAAAGCAGAATAACTCTTAGTGCCTGGAAGAGTTACACCAGTGACTTTAAACTGGAAGAAAGGCAAAGATCATGAACAGTGGCTGACTATTAGAATGATGTACCCTCGGATGCAATGGATTCCCTTTCACCTGACATCAGTAGATGAGAAGCAGGTGACTCACACAGCAGCTCAGCTGTAAGTTATCTGCTAATTGGAGGGATCTCCAACAAGTGTCTCTGACATTTGCTAGGCAAGTGGTCAGACTGGGTTATCCTAGAGGGCCTTTCTGGATGTAACATCTATGCAGAGATTGCTGCAGGAACTCAATGTATTAGGGTCCAGAATTGTAGTGAAATATCACCCTGGATTGGTTGAACCACCTGCCCCCCCCCTCCCCCCCTTCTTATAATACACGAGGAGAAATTGCCTCCTTACTTCTTCCTATTCCTGCCCATCAATTCAGAGGAGGCTGAATAAAATGTGGCCAATCACTGATTCCCAGTGATCAGCTATGGGCCAAGCCCTTGGCCATGAACCTTTCACTTGCATTTTTGACACCTGGGATTTCAAAGGGGTTTCTCATTCAAGAGCTACATAGGCCCTGCCTTGCTGAACTTTTACACACAAATGGGATCGAGCAAAACTATTGTAGCATGACCACACACAGTCCCACCCTCCCCATCAGGGTAGTCACCCTTCAGCCAAGAATGTTAGGCCTTAAGTGGAATATTGGCTTTGTGCATGCTCCTGCCCCGACAAACCCCATTGTAAATGCTGACCTACAGAACTGAGAGGCTCAAAATCGCAATGAAATGGAAAGGGATTCAGATGCTCAACTCTGGAGAGTTCCTTGGAGAATCTCCTTTCCCCATTCCTATGAAGTCTTGGGAGTTAGGGCATTTAAACCCTTTGGGCAGCTTTCAGAAAGGCAGTCTGTGTTGTCGAGCAGGAAAAAATAAAAGCAGAACAGACCGGAAAATATTCTTCGAAAGGGGAAAGTGAAATTAGAGAGGGGTGCAGAGCCCCACCTCGCTTTTGGAATAAGAACTGTGCTCAGCTGGTTAGGCTGGCCGTGTGTGAAGGAGCTAGCAGTAGTTTGCGGGAAGGCGCTGCCCCCTAGCGGCCGTTTCGTTTTATGTCCACAACTTCCGGATTAAACACACACGTGGCTGCTGTTCGTTGGGTCGGGAGTAGTCCAGCCCTGCTATACAACACACCGCATCCTCCTCGGAGAGCTAAATACACTCCAAGAAAACCAACCTGGCTGTGGTTGCGCGTTAAGATTGTCACATCTTAATGGATTAAAATATTCACCTTCAAACGAGAAATCGCAGTCTGCGGAATAGAGAGATGGCTAGCTCTGTCAGGTTGAAAAAAGGTTAAAGAAAGGTCAGGGAGAGCACTTTATATATACTCATACACAAATAAATATATATGGAAGAGGAAATATGTTATATATAAATGATTATATAAATATATATTTATTTAAGGGGAAGGTATAAAGGCAGGAGAGTTACTAAGACAAGGGCATTTATCAGATCAGTTAAAGGAAACAGGCAAGTTAACACCCAAAAGGATACTGAAGTAAACAACGAGTCCAGGTAGTCTGGAAAAAAACCCCAAAACTCCACAGCAAATTTAACACAGCCCAATCTGTGGAAGATATCTTATTCTGCAACTTCACTTTCAAATTGCGTTTTAAAACTTTGATTTGTGGGATGTTTTATTTTGCTGAAGGACAGCTACACTGAAGTCCATGAAATATTTTCCATTCTAGCCGCAGGCAGCGGGATGCGATAGCGAGAGAAAATGGAGATTGAGCGGGGGTGCGGGGAGCAGTGAGGCAGCATACAGCTGTGTATAGCCATGAAGAGAAAGAGTATTTCGTCCCTTGCTCTGCCCTGACGGGCCTCCACACATCTCCGCAGACCGACGGTTCAAAGCTGTCAGGGTCAGGCGTGTAGACGCCGGGGTGGCGACGGAGGGGAAGGAGTGCGGCGACGTTGCAGGAGGGCGAGGAGGGCGTGGGTTTAGGGAGAGAGGCGGTAAAATGCATGTGCCTGGGGACATAGAGACAGAGAGGCTCTTCCCACTCCCTCGCGGGAACTGAGGCCACGTAGTTTCGCTGCTACATCGCGGCCATTTCCCGTCACAGCCCGGTCACTCCCGCCCCCGTCACTTCCCGCGGGTTTCCGCACATGGCGGTCCCTCGGGGAGAGCTGCGGCCGGAGCGCGCTCCTACCGCGGGGCGTCCTCTGTAGTCAGACGAGCGCCCGCCGGGTGCAGCACAAGCCGGCGCTTACCGGGCGGGCCCGACCCGAGCCCGCGAGGACCGGCTTTCCGTGATCTGAAGAAGCACCCGCAGACCCTGCTGAAATCTGCTTACCTAGGGGGACGGACGGGACGGGGAATCCTCTGTGGAGCCGCCCCGCGGTTACCCGCAGCCGTAGACCAGCTCCGAGAATCAGTACACGGGGTGCTCTTTACAGCTCAGTGCGGCGCTCCCTGCTCGGTGACCTCGGTCTCTAGCCGCAGGAAAGGGACGGAGAATCCCGGTCTGGGGACGACAATAAAAAGGCTGCTGAGGGAAGAGACCCAAAAACTTCCCGGCCACAGGATGGGCGCAGTCCCGGCCTCCACCATTGCACTGATAATGGTTTGGGGTGAGTCGCCACGCGCATTTTTCAGTCTCTCTCACTCTCCCCACGAAACCTACAGCCCATCTTCAGTACCAAGCGACCCCGGAGCCACCCGTTCCTGTCCACTGTCCTTACTCTGGGGGTGTCTGTCTGCCTAGCGACCCTCCCCACCTTTCTCGTTTTCTCTTCCTGGCTCCTTTCATCCCGATTGTTCTTTGAACGAGGCGTGAGTTTGTGCATGGGGAGAGGAGGAATTCAGGACATTTAGGAGTCTCTCTGGCCCCATCACTCCATGCTCCCCGTCTTTTCCTTTTCCAGGTGCCCTGGGAACAGCTCAGATCCTGCAGCCCCGCTCGGCAGAGGCGCTGGAGGGAGCTCCGCTCAACCTCACCTGTGACCACTCCTCAATCACCATGAGGGACTCTATCCACTGGTACCGGCAGTTCCCCAACCGCGGACCCCAATTCATTGTGTCCGGAGTCAAGGACTTTGTCCAAGTCTCCGACCCGGAGGGCGCTCTGCACATCTCGGCGGACAGAAAATCCAGCCGCCTGGCTCTCCGCGCAGCCGGGCGGGGGGACGCGGCCGTGTATTACTGCGCTGTGAGCGACACGGTGCGACAGCCTGAGCCTGCCCCGGGCTAAAACCCCCGCAGCGGGGCGGAGCATGTGTGTGTGTGTGTGGTGTGGGGCAGGGGCAAGAGGAATCGGGCCGGAGTCGGCGAGGAAAGCGACGAGAGCAGGGTTGGAGAGGGGCTGTGAGTCAAGCTGCACGTTACAGTGTGCCAGATGATACAGATTAGCAGTCCTCCTTTTCCCCCAGTGGCCAGCCCCAGGCATGTGTCTGCCCAGCAGACAAAGGTGTGTAATGGTCCTATGGGCAGGCAGGGCAAGGGCAGCGACGGTGGAGGGACACCGATGCCAGCTGAGTCTGTGTCTTTAGTCCCAGATAGACGGTGAGATGAATCACTTTGTTCTCACCACTGTGGGTACCTGTGCAAGCAAAATCAAAGCCAGTCTGTGAAAGCCACCTATCGGATCTAGCTAGACCCTTTCTTATGTGTGTGCACACCACCTGCACATGTGCATGTGCACTTGGGACAGGGCAATACCAGTGCGTGAGGAGCCCATGATGGCAGAGAACTGGTCAGGAGTGAGAGGCCCAGAGGATCTCAGCAGAACTGTGTCTCAGGATGCAGTAGTGATTGAGGTGCCCTTGAGGTCCCAACCAGTCTCTCTGGGGAAAGACATCTTCCCAGTGCCCAGTCTGGGGAGAAGAATCTGACCCTGACCCTGTGAGCAAGTTCACCAGCCTGGCATGTTTTTTTTTTCCCACTAGCTCAAAGTGCAGCCCATGCCCCTGTTTCCTTCCTCCAGCTGTGGCCAAAATGTAACACGTGAGAGGTGCCCAACTCCCCCTGGCTGTGAATGCCTAACTCTCCTTGCTGCCTTTGAGTCTTCTTCTTGCAGTTGGTTGGAGGGATACTCTTTCCGATGAAATGCTATGATCAAAGGAAAGAATGGTCAGGGTGGACAAAGCTAGAGGAGAAGGCTGTTTCCTGCATTTTCCCAGTTCCTGAGGGAATGAACAAGGGAATGGTTATAGGGAGACCTTTTGTGGATAAACAGGAAGTTTGATCACTGAACTAAGAGAACCTGATTGCCAGGAGTCAAAGAGAGGAGATGGGGACAGAGGCAAAGAAACACTGCTCATTAGAGAAAGGCAGAACAAAGGAACAGAGGAGACATAAGATCAGTTTGACACTGGCAAAGAAGTGAATTTCTTGGCTGCACCATGTGGACTCTCTCCCTTTTGCTATTTGCCTGTGGCAGGTAGGATCTTCCAGCCATGCTGCCACATTTCCATGGTGGACAAAAATGTGCAGATCCCCCCCAGGAGGGATGTGTCCTTCCTTCCTCATTCTCTGCCTCTCCTCTCATAGGAGCTTCAGGATAGGCCTTCTCCCAGGTTTTCCAGCCATCCTGGATCATGTCTTTGGAAGAAGAAAGATTCCTGATCCCATGCAGTCACATCACTGCTCACTAAACATTGCTCCGGTACCAGCATCCCTGCAAGGGCCATGGGGTTCTGAGCTTTCTGGGGAGGGGGTAGGAAGGCTCCTTGCCTGCAGGGAAATTCATAGTGACTGTGGACAAGTCCTCCCGCTCTGCTAACCTCACTAGACACAGAGTGAGACTGAGAGACACTCTATTACTGTGCCCTGAGGGACATGGTGATGGGGGCTGTGGGATCAGCTGCACAAATCCCTCTACCTGGCTTTTTCCTGCCATCTGCTTCCAGTGAACTCATTTGCCTCCCCCTTTACCAGCGCATGGAGAGGTTGTTACACGAGCCTGGAATTCCTGCCCCCCCTATCCCCCAACAGCTCCAGTGCAGATTTACACCAACAGCTGGCCCACATGTTTCTGTCTGTACAGCAGCTGCTGTTTCAGGCAGCCATGTATTTTCATGCCTGTACCTTCACCCAGTTCACTGCAGACAGGAGGGCTAGAAGGTTTTGAGATCTGCAGAATCTCCCTAAGGCTTTCAGGCTGGGATTTTTCAGAAGACCTGACAAGACTTAACACCCACTCTACCCCAACCAAGGCCACCATCCTATGACTGACTACTCCAGTTTCTTTGAAAACTCTTGCTCCTATTTGCTGGCCCTGCATTACCAGCAAAGTGTCACAAGATGGCAAGCAATGCGTGAATGAAAGCTTGATCTCCCTTTGCAAAGTCTGTTGTTGAGCAGCCTCAGGCTTGGGGATGTAGGCCACAAGCTGAGCCTTGGTGCTATGGGGACCCTGCCCTTGGATGAGGCTCATCCTATAGCTCTCCCCTATGGGGTTCTTGCACAATGCTCTGACTCCAGGGGCCCATTATCCCAGTGTCCTCAATGGAAAATATGAGAAGCCCAGTGCTTCTAATTGCTCCCTCTGTTCAGGTTTCATCACAGGAGGGAGACATTGCCCAAGGAAGAATCTTTCAGAGACCTTCTTCAAAAGCTTCATAAAGGCTCCTGCAGATGGTTAAAAGGCCCAGCATCACTACAGGGGCTCTGCATTAGTGCTGTGCATAGATCCTCCACTTGAGAGGTGGGAGTAGCCTGCTGCCTTGGTCCAGACAGCTGAGCTAAGGTCAGTGTCATAGAGGGAGAAGGGGCTGGTTGGAATCCAGGGTCTGATTTGCTGTCTCAGTGTGGATCAATAGGAGAGTGAGCTGTTTGCAGCCCAGAGACTGTGTCACTCTCTACCAACACAGAGAGTTTAAGACACTGGAGTATCCCATGGGTGTATTCCTCACCCTGCCTGTCTGCCTCTGTTGCTCTTTTCCTGTGTTCTTCATTCCTTCTTTCCTATGCAGTCTTGATGTATTGTTCTATGGATCTGCCTCCCTACCTACCTACCTGTCTGTCTGTCTGTCTGTCTGTCTGCCTAGGTGTCACGGTAACAGAGAAGCTAAGGCACCTTGCTGCCATCCAAGCGTAGTTCTGGGGTCACCCCTTCTCTTGACTATTCTCTTTGCACGCACCATCCACAACTCTCTTCTGTGGATAAGGGCATGAAGCACATTTTATAGATTTTCTTCTTTCCATCTTGCACATTCCTGGTGAAGTAGATGATAGTGAAGTTCCTGTTCCAACTTCTGGTCCTTTGGTTTCTTCCTGTTGATTTCAGTTGTGTTCCCTGATCCCAGAAATGAAATGGTGATGTAAGAACCTGAATAATAGAACCAAAGAGTACAGCACAGAAACAGGGAGATGTAAATGTATCCCTATTCTACTCTGCTTCACCAAATGTATACTTATTAAAAAGTTTCACTCACTCAAACTGAGCTATGTGAGAAGCAAAGGGATAAAAGCTAGAAACTCTGATGACTTCTTAAACCTGTGAACCTTGTTGCATGATCTCTGTGCCTCCAGGAAGGACTCCACTTCCCATGGAAAGTAAGAATGACACCATGATGGTATCTGAATTTATCCTCCTAGGGATCCCCAATACCAGAGGCCAGGAGACCATCCTCTTCATTGTCTTCCTCAGCTTCTACCTCTGCACCCTGCTGGGGAACCTGCTAATCCTCGCAGCTATCCTTTCTGACTCACGCCTCCACACCCCTATGTACTTTTTCCTCCTCAATCTGTCCATTGTGGACCTAGGGTTCTCCTCTATCAGCACCCCCAAGCTGTTGGCCAACCTCTGGGCCAAGAGCAGAACCATTTCCCTGGGGGGATGCATGTCCCAAGTCTTCTTCTACCACTTCCTGGGCAGCACAGAATGCCTGCTCTACACCGTCATGGCGTATGACCGGTACGTGGCCATCTGCCACCCGCTGCGCTACCTTCTCATCATGAACTGGAGGGTGTGTGCTGTCCTGGTTGCTGGCACTTGGTTCACCAGTTCTTTCCATGCTACCATCCTCACCAGCTTGACCTTCACACTGCCCTACTGCCGCTCCAATGTGGTAGACTATTTCTTATGCGACATCTTCCCTGTGGTCAAGCTTGCCTGTGCTGACACATACATCATTGAGACAGTAAGCTTCACCAACATTGGTGTGGTGCCAATGACCTGCTTTGTCCTCATCCTCCTGTCATACATCAGGATCGCTGCCTCTGTGGTGCAGATGCAGAATGATGAGAGCCGGCGGAAAGCAGCGTCAACCTGCGCCTCCCACCTGACAGTGGTGTGCTTCTTTTTTGGGCCATGTGCTCTCCTCTACACCCAGCCATCTCTGAGTGATGTGCTGGCTACCCCCATTCAGATCTTTTGTAATGTGGTGACACCAATGGTGAACCCCACAGTCTATACCCTGCGGAATAAGGAAGTCCAGGCAGCATTCAGGAAAATGAGAGGTGGCTAGAATAGCCCTGTAAAAATTGGGAGCATATATGAGCTGTGTGTACCTTTCCCATAGCCTCCTGAGAATTAATGTATAGGTAGACAAGAGAAGATTTTGGAGGCAGAAAGGACTAGTAAGCATCCAAGTTGCTTAGCCTTGTTCACATTTGTATTTTTTTATGTCTTTGCTGATAGGGATGCATAAAAATCTCTCCAGTGATATCAACAGGAGACATAGAGGTGGACATAAAAGCGATGTGGTTATGTCTGTAGTTATGAAGTGAAAAATTCCAGAGAGTGCACAGAGGTCAGGCACTTACCCACATCAACCTGTCTGTGAGAAGAGTCCTTAAATATGCCCTAACCTTGTAGTAAGGGAGAGTTAAACCGAGGAAGTCCAGCCTTCCACAGACAGCTGATGCCGGGTAAATTGCCACATGCTTTAAACTCACTATGATTTCTATGTCCGTCTCTTCAGGAAAAAAACATATTTGGAGAAGAGGTTACTTTAGGCTTAAGGAAGTTTTTGGGTCAACTGAATTATACCAGGGTTTGGGGGTTATGGGTAATGCCAATGGAGTGCTACTGTGGGGTTAGACAGGAAGACAGCAGAAGGACATCCATGAAGATTTGGGTGGAAATACTTTTGGATGAGGAAGGATTTTGGAAGTATTATATTACATTTCAGACATAAGGCTGGAGCTCAAGAATAGGTCTGGCTATAAAAGCAAGAGTTCCTTTTCAAAACAGTGTCAATGGCTATAAATTTGGTTTTCATTACACATTGGAACTAAGCCAAGATT